GCAGGCTCCGTGGAGTGGTGGTGCTAGAGTTGGACTTGGGTGGGGGGAACAGGGAAGACTAGTTGCGGGGCGCAGCTTGAGCACAGCACCTCCTTGAACGTGGGGCTGGTACACAGTTGGGAGAGGGAGCACAGTAGGGGCATCTTTGGGCCAACAGGTAGGTGGCACCCTGAGGCTCTAGCCTACCTGGATGCTCAGGATGTCCCATGTAGCTCTGGGAGGTGGGGGGGGGGTGTACACATGGGATGCTGGGGAAGAGGGGTCAGGCCTGAAGGGCCTGCTGGGGGAAGCAGGGCTGGGGCTATGTCCTGTCTGTCGCTCCAGCTGGGGAGATCCTGGTGAATCTTCCAGGAACTCTGGGTATGTATCTTGATTTGGAGTCTTTGAAAGCCAGCGAGTTCTTCCTTCTCTCTGGCCCATGTCGCCCCAGCTTTCACATGTTTCAACTCAAAGCACATCAGCAGTTTTCAAGTCCTTTTTTAAATCCACTAAACCCTTTATCAAACCACATCTTACATATAACTTCAGTCTATGAGCACACGTTCACGGAGCTGTGCTCGGGAGCTAGGCTGGGGCGGGCAGCCCATCTTCACAGCCTCAGTCGCCTCCACATGTTAAGCCCTGGGATTTCTAGGCCCCTCTGTAAGTGCAGCCCTGTGCTCAGCATGATAGTGGAGACGTCCAGAAAAGCAGATGGGAGGTCCACCCTTGGGGAACTGCTGGTTCTGTGTGAAAGGCCACACCCAAAGCAGGGTACGCACACAAAGAGCAGGGAGGCCTAGCCCCCTCCCTGCTAAAAACATGCTGTGTGACTCTGAGCAAGTAGCTGCCTCTCTCTGAGCCCTGGTTTGGCCTCAGTTCCCAGGCCTGAGCTGGGACGAGAGGTGGTCCCCCTGGCCCACCACACCGAGGCAGTTACACGAGCAGTGGCGGGAGGCTGGCTAACGCATACCCGAGTTGGCAGCCCGGCTCCGCGTGGGCAGGAGCCGGGAGGGAGGAAGCAATGGTCAACAGGACAGGCCTGTCCAGAACGTGGGTGAGCCGTGCCAGCAAGCCAACTCCACAGCAGCCCCCAGAGCTCCCACCCCACGTTGCAGACAATGTGGCTTCATTCCACCCTGACTGTCAGCAGGGAGTGGGGGCTGTTCTTATGCTGTGAACAAGTTGGGGAGAGCTGCATAGGTGGGGGCCACTTGCTCGAGGGGCCTGGGGAGATGGCAACAGAGATCTGGGGTTCTCAAGGAGCTTTTTCTCCCTTACTGGTATGCCTTCGCCCCCTTCAGATGGCTGCCCCCTGGCTTGACCTGGAAAAGCCGGCTGTTGTTGGGGTGAGTGAGAACATCAGAGTCTGTGTCCCCAAAGGGTGCCCTAAGGTCAGTTCCTGAATTTCTCTGTGTCTCGGTCTCCTCATCTGTGTAATGGGAATGTTCCTTGAACCCGGGCTGCAGAGGGGTGGCAGGATAACACGGGTAGACTCTCCATGGGGTGCCTCTGAGGCCAGAGCTCAGTTATAAGACAGCTCTACTCCCTCTCTGGTCTGGAGTCATGGCCCCCCTGGGAAGCACAGAAGAGCTAGCAGCCCCAACCCCAGGGAGGATCCGAGGCCACAATTGTTCCTACAAATATAGTTTATTAAAAAATTACTCATGAACACGTTGGTTTTCACGATGCACTGCCGCCTGTGTCATGTTACAATGCGGTGCTGTTTCAGTCCAGAAAGAAAGAAAAGCTCCCAGACACACGGAGGAACCATGGCGATGCAGCACCTTTGCAACCCACCCTGAGCTTGACCCTAGCGACAGGGTCTTAACTACAGAAACTTCTATAAGACCAGACACAGGCTGGGTTGGAGAAGAGAGGGGCTGGATGGGGCCAGAGGATTGGGGGTGAGGCAGTGAGGAGCAGAGGAAACAGCGGAGGGGACAGACTCAAGGACTGAGCCCCCAAAGCGCCCATGTTTGTTTGCTCCGCGCACTGCATAAGAGCCACAGCACAGCCTTGCCTGCCACTCCTCGCCTACAGCCAGTCCTCCCGCAGCCAGTCCTCTGTCCTCCTGTCCTCCCCTCTTCCCGGGCACTACCCAGCTCAGGTCAGTGATGCAGGGGGCTTGGAGATGGAGGCTGCTGGCAGCAGTCACTGAGGTCCAGGCCCAGGCCACCCCGCCAGGTCTGAGCCCAGGTCTGAGAGCAAGGCTGCGTGCAGGGTCCCGCATACCCGATTGTGAGGACTGTTTGCACACCAACATCTGCGCAGTGAGCGCGTGTCAGGGCTATTTCCAACTCCCCCTCCCCGGCCTACCCCTTCTTGGGCAGCACGCCCAGTTCCCAGACCCAGCCTTACTCTTCCTGAGCCCTCCATACACCCCACTGCCTTCAGCCGGCCCACCTGGCTCAGCCCCCTCCTCAGTCCAGCCAGCCTCCCAGTAGCACTGAAAGACCCTTCTTGTCCTGCCAGAGCCTGGGGGCCTGACGGGGCAGAGTGAGGAGGGGGCTCTGTTATACTTGGTTCTGGGACAGCTCTTCCAGCGCCTGGGTGGGCTGGGCCAAGGCCCTGCCCCAAGGCACGAACAGTTCAAGGCCCAGAGTTGTCCCCAGCACCTTTCCTCTCCTCAGGCCAGCCCCAGAGCAGCAGAATCTCCCCTGGCTCAATTTCTGGCACCCAGTGACCCTGTGACCCGCTCTCTGACACCCCCAGCAGTTCAGAGCCCCACCCAGGTAATGCAGGAGCTCTCCACGTCCATGGCCCAATTCAGTCCCTCACCTAGTGCAGGTCAAAGCTCAGCCTGGCCAGGGAAGAGGAGCCAGAGCCAGGGCCCCTGGTCATTTTCGTCTCCTGGTTTTATGCCCGCTGCCCCCCTCGACGGAATGCCATTGCCGTCAGCTCAAATTGTGCCCCACCACTGTCCCTCTGCCCAGGGCCACCCATAAGGCTTCGAGGAGCTAGACGCCATACCTGTGTCCACAGTCACGGTGGCCTAGCTCAGTGTCCCCCACCCCAGGCTGGAAGCACTCTCAAAGCAAGGCTGGGGCACCTCCTGGGATTCTCTGGGGCCTCCTCTTTCCTGTCTGTATAATGGGCAGCTTGGCCCAGTGGCCTCCAAGGCTGCTGACTCTCCCAGATCCCACGAGGGAAAGCATTTCTGGTGCCTCAGGTGGGTTCCTGTGATCTCTGGGACCTGATGCCTTCCTCAGGTAGGGGCCGCTCTTACTGAAGAGACCAGTGTGGGGCGCTAAGCCAGGTGGGGTGACAGAGATGTTGGAGGGGCACTCTGCAGGGACAGGGAGAGAAGACCAGTTCTCCCCCCATCCCCTTTTCCAAATCCTTCCTAAAGGCCAGGGTTGGCTTGGCGTTTTAAGCCTCACTGGCACATGCCACTCTGCTGTCCTAAGACCTCGTTGGCTCCCACTGCCAACATGGCATGGTCTGTGGGTTTCATTTTACCATGTAAGGTTTCTGTGCCCCAGTCCAGGCGCTCGTCCTGGCCTGTGCTCCCGCGGGGCTGTTGGCGTTCCCTTGTCAGCTCCCCTCTGCTCCTACCCACCTCAGTGCCTTTGCCCAGGCTGAGCCCCTGTCTGGGGCACCGACCTCCTCCCGGGTCCCTAAGTCTGGCCTCCTGCTGCCCCGCCCCAGCTCGTCTCTGAATATCTCGTCTCCATATTCCTTATCTGGATCCTTGGAGACAAGATAGGGATTGTCATTTGATTTTTAATTTGCTTTTTTGCCTCCAGAGTCCAAATTTGGCCCGTGCCTGTCTCTGCACTCCTCACTGCCCAGGAGAGCGCACGCTGCCACTGCCGTGCTGGGAGGTATTTGAAAGCCGCTCTTAGCTGACGCCCTAGGGAAGGGAGGTGGGGAGATCCCTCTCTTGGCTGGATGAGCTGGCGTCTCCGGGACCTCAGGTGGCCCCTTCTCAACTCTGCAGCGGTCCAGCCGCTGACTCCCGGAAGGACGGGGTCCCTGGGGGCAGAAGGGGGCCTGGGGATCCAGCACTGACTCACCCCAAGGGGGTCCTCCCCTGACTCATTTCCCTTCTGGGCACCTCATGATGCTGCCCATTAGCCCTGGCTTCCCTAGCTGAAGGGGAGAAGGGTGTGGCAGAGCCTCTGGAAGGAGACTCAGGCCCTTCCTCTGCTTGCAGTTGCTTTTGGGAAGGGTTCTGAAAGATGTTGGGCTGAAGCACTGATTCATACGTGGGCAGTAATGACGAGGGGCCCCGGAGGCCACGGTTTTCAGGCACAGCTCGACCACGCCTTAGAATGCTGTGGTGCGGGGGTTTCTGGCGCTGCAACAGAAGAGGGAAGCACCCAGCACCTCCCAGAAGCAAACTTTCATTCAGTCTCGCTCAGGTCAGACACCAACGCCTGGGACGGGGAGGTGTGGCAGGGAGATGCCCGGGCCATCTGCTGGGGCACGGGACATTCAGGGACACGGGTCCTGCCTCCAGGAGGCTGACGCCAAGTGCTCCCGTGGGCCACCGAGCAGACCTTTCAGTGAGGAGAGAGGAGGCAGACCCGGGACCAACAGGTGGTGAAGAGGCCAGATAGACACACCTGGACAAGCGCAGGGGAAGAAGCAGCAGAGCTGGGGAGTGGCTGGAAGGGTCAGGGGAGGCTGCCAGAGGTGGAAGCCAAGATTTGGGGCCCCAAAGGACAGGCAGACTAATTCTTCCCCACTCTGCTCCTTGCAGCACCCCCCATTCCTGGCCGGGGAGCCTGAGCGGGGACTGTCTCCTTCCTGGGGGGCGGGTGTCCTTGGGACCCCAGGGCTGTCACCGGAGACCTCGGCGCAGGGAGCCCGCTCAGCGCCCGGGCGCCCCCAGGTCCATGGCAGACAACCTGGCCCAGAATCATGCCCTAGAAAACCCCAGCCGGGCGCAGCCTGGGAGGAGCAGAGCCCCCACAACCGGCCTGAAGTGATGGGGGACACTTGGGCCCCTCCGTCTCTCCCCCTGCCGGGACTTTCCACCGTCCCAGCCCCAGCCCGCTCGGCCCCTTACTCACCAGCCGACGCGCGCTCGGTCCACGCGGCCAGGGCCAGGGCCAGCGCCAGGGCGGCCGCGGCGGGGGGCGGGGGCCACGGGCGCATGGCCACGGGGGGCGGCAGGGTCTGCGGGAGCTCGGAGGGCGCAGGGTCGGGACCCGGGCGCGCAGTTTCGAGCTGAGAGACTCGCTCCTGGGGCACCCGCTCGGCGGCCCGGCCTTAACTCGGGGGGCGGGGCAGGCGCTACCCGCGCTCCGGTTTCAGGCGGGGGCTCCCCCTCGGCCCCCAACCTTCTTAAAGGGCCCGTGCTGGGCTGGTCCTCCCGCTGGCTGCAGGGGCTGGGACCCTGCCCGCTGGGCCACTCTCGCGCCCCACCGCGGAGAGGTCAAGGTCAGACCGGGTCCCCCTGCGCTCTGACCCCTGGACCCCTCCTTTGACAGGGGCTTGCAGCCGGGCCAGCTGGCTCCTGTCCCTCCTGCCCTGGAAGGGGGGGGTGTCTTCTCACACTCCAGGTTGGAGGACGGGCACATGCAGCCCCCTCACACCTGTTGCTGCGCTTCTCTGCCTCCAGCCCTCCTCAGGGCGCCACTTGGGCAGAGAGGCACCAGCCTGAGGTTGTTCATGGCTCTGCCCCACGTTGTGACCTTGGCCTTCTCTGCTCAGCGGGGCCTCGAGAGTTTGCCTGCCTGGAAAGGAGAGAGGTTCTGGGCACTCCCCTAGGCAGGAGGGGTTCTCACCTCCACAGTATCATTTGCCTCAAAAGAACCCTGCAAAGTGGATGAGGGCCCTTCCGAGCCCCATTTTATGGGGTTGGGGTCGGTGGCTTGGCGCTGGAAGTGGTTTTGCAAGGCCCCCAGGTGGACAGAAGCTCTGTGGCCAGCAGGGCCACGACCCCAAGCCTCCCGACTCCCGAATCCGGGTGTTCCGACTTCCTGGGGCTGTCTCGTGGAAATCTGGCCCTGGATTTAGCTCCTACCTAACAGCTTCAGGCTGGGGCCCTTCTTCTCTTGGCTCCCTCCCAGGCAACAACTTCAGCTTCGTCCCAAACAGAAGGAGAAAGGGCAACTTTACCACAGAGCTTCCAGGCCTAGAGGCTCTGCCTGCTCCCTGCCTCGCCCCAGCACCAGCCTCGCCTGGCCTGGGCTCTGGGCTGGCCGGGAGGTGGAAGATGACGCTGGAATCCCCTTCCCTCTCCGCCCACAATGCTGCTGTCCCACCTGCCTGCGTTGGCCCCCACGTCCTCCTCCCCTCCAATGCACCCTCTGTCTCCCCAGCCCCTTCCCTTGGCCATGACAGTTCCACCATGAGTAAAGCGCTTCAGAGTGTCCAACGAAACTGAGCCCCAATTCTCAGATGAGAAAACTGAGGCTGATAGAGTTTAAGGGGCCTGAGCAAGTCCACACAGTTGCTAAAGTGTGGAACCAGGTCCTGGATCCCCCCAGTTCAGCGTTCCGACCACCACAACACAGTGGGGTATATGTGTGGGGGGCAGCGGGGGGCAGGGGAGGAAGGTCTGTGCTGAGAGCGCAGACCTGAATTCGATTCCCAGGTCTCTGACTTAGCTGTCCAGCTTTGAGCAAGTCATTTCACCCCTCTGTGGCTCCGTTTCTCCACTCGTAAAATTGGATTAGCGAAGATTGAATGCTTTGATGTACCTCACGTGCTGAGCCAGGGCTGGCACGCAGGAGGCGCTCAATAGAGCGCGATGGGTCTCCTGGCCCATCCTCCCCAGATTTGAATTTGCGTGTAGCTTCCCGCCCATCAACTCCCGGGATGGAAAGTCAGCCCTGAGGGCTGAATTTTCCTATCCAAAGTCAGCTTCATGCAGTAAGTGCTAAATAAATGCGTGCTGAGGGTGACTAAGAAGCAACTGCTGCTGTTCAGTAGGGATTTTAACGAGCATCAGAACTTCCATTCGGTTTGCCCCAGGAGGGCAGGGTGGGGCAGCGTGGCCTCCCCAAATAAAGCCGTTGATTCCACAACTTGTCCCTTGTTTTTCCTTCACCTCAACTCAACGAGGAGGCACCTGGTCCTTGTTAGGGCTACTTGTTGACCTAGTGTGGGCCCACAGTTGGGGGGGCTGTGGGGAAGAGTTTGTGTGGAGGAAAAGAGCTTTCTTTTCAGTGATGAAGAGGGAAGGAAGAAAAAGACCTTTACTTCTTTATAATTAACGACTAGAGTGGAGGGTCCCACCTGCTCCGTCTGCCCCCCCTTCTCTCTCCTCTCCCATCCTCGCCTGGCCCTCGCTCTCATGCCCACCCACACCAGCTTCCCCGTCACTGCCAGGAGGAGTGGGAGTCATTTGTCTGTCTGTGGAGCCTCCAGATGAGACCCGGTCGACGGCTGGGTCCCGGTCGGGCGAGCTTGCAGCCTCCCCGCCTCGTTGCTAGCTGGGCCGAGAAACACAGTCCTGGAAGGATCGCGCGCGGCAGCCAGCAGGCAATGATGGCCGGCTGGGCTTCTCAGTTTACAAAACATTCACCTGGTCTCTTGACAACCCAGGGAAGTATGTGTGTCGGGGGACATGTTCCATTCTGACTGATGTGGAAGCGGAGACTGTCAATAGAAAAGGGGTGCTTTGTTCACCCGGTAGCACAGGACTTGAACCCAAGACCCATGCCCAGTGGCATCATGCCAGGTAGTCTGGCAGAAAAAGTTGAGGTCCCCCATTGCTTTGGAACTGATCCTTGACCAGCTCTTCCCATCTCAGAGCAAGGCCAGGGGGCCAGGGAGCCTGCTTAACCGCCTTGCTGCCTTCTCGGCCTTCCCCTAAGCCTGAAGCCCCCGTCAGCAGCAGAGCTGACCAGGGTGCCGTGGCATCCTCAGCCCGACTCAGATCTCCTCCCTCTGCCCTTTGCCATGATTTTCCCTGGCGTGGGTTGGCCGGCACTCTTGGTGACCATCCCAGACTGCCTCTGCCTTCCTAGCCCTGTCGCCCCTTCCTCCAGGGAGCTCTCCTCGTCCTCCCGCCTGCTCCTGACCTCCCTTTCCACAGCCTTCCCGGAGTCGTGATCTCTGTACTCTCCTACTGCCCCTGGGCACGGCTACGGCTTCCTGGGCCATGAGGTGTGGTCAGTGCCTTTCTCTCCCTAGACTGACCCCTCCCCAGCAGACCACAGGGGAGGGAGCCTGGGATGGAAGGGAGAAACAGAACGCACCAGAAGGGTGAAGGAGGAAGCCCACAACCCTGCGCAGTTTCTGCCTCGGAGAGAATAAGACATCACAGCTCATCCCCGCTCCCAGGGCTTCAGCACGCACCGTCCAGGCCCTTCCTCGTCCTTACCCTCATGCTCCCTGGGCTGAGAGTGTCCCCTCTAGCATGACTGCGGCTGGTCCTGCCCTGGGCCAGGGCCTGGCCCTTTGAGTGCCTCTGTGTTTTGCACTGACTGCCTGGGCCCCACCCAGGGAGCCTTGGCCAAAGCCAGCTTGTGGGTAAATGGCGGGTACTTGTGCCCTAGATGGGGTGGTGCCCTCGGGGCATTGGCCCTCCGCCCTGAAGGCCACAGGACTCAGGTCACTACTGTGCAGGGGACATGGGCTGTCAGCTCTGGCTCTGTGGCCCCACAGTCTCACCTCCAGGAGCCCGTGGCAGGGGGCCCAGGCCTGCACCTCTGACCAGGGGCCTCTGCTGCGAGTGGTCTTGCCCTGCTCCTGGCTGGAGGCAACCCTGGGCCTGCCTCCAAGTGCAGGCGGCCAGGCTCGGGAGGGGCGGGGTCAGCTATTCCCAACAATTACACAATTCAGGAGCCGAAAAGTTATGTTTTTTGCCCTTGGGAGCCGGTTGCGGACAGAGAGGAGGCCAGTGGCAGGCTCTGAGTGACACCCAAGTTGTTTGGGGGACACGGGGACCGGGGTTGGTGGCGGACCCTCTCTCAGCCTCTGTTCCTGGAGTGGACACCCGTCTCCACACCACGTCCACAAAGGCTTGTGGCTTCGGTGGCTGTGACCAGCTGGCCACAGCTGTCTCCCCCGGGACGTGTGCTGTTTCTAAATATCGGTTCATGTTGTTAACCCCTGCTGGGCTGCGCTGGGGGACGTGAGCTGTGCTGTGCTGGGGGACGTGAGCTGTCTGCAGAGCACTTCTCTGGGGTGGGGGTGGGCAGCGAACATTTCTCTGCCTGGATGGAAAGTTTGTCTAAGTGAAATTTGCTCAGGGTCTAGCTTGGCCAGGCACTTTTGGGGGCTGGGGTGGGGCTCCCAAAAGAAGGATGAGAGGTTGCTGTTGGGGACTGAGAATGAGCTGGCGGTGGATGTCGGGAGACCAGGTCTGAGCTGGCTGTGGGCAGGGCTGTGGAAAGAATGTGGACTCAGGAGCCAGCCGTTTGGGCGTGCCAAGCTTTTCTATGTGGCCGCAGGTGGATCTCTTCGGCTCTCTGCAACTCTTCCTCTGTCAATTGTGGCACCCCCGGGGTGCTTGGGTGATGCCCTGCAACAGAGCTGCTGGGCTTTATAAACTGTGAAGGCCAGTGCCTGGTGCTTATGACGGCTACTGTGGCTGCTCTCTGCGTGACTCCGGAGAATCTCTTCATGGAGAGGCAAGACTGACAACCGAGAGACAGCTGGAGCAAGACAGCAGGGCTGTCTCAGCCTGTGTGGGGCGTGGAGGGCCCGCCGCCTGCACAGAACGGAGTTTGGATTTCAGCCCTGAGCTGGCCCGGTTGGCATGGCAGTGTCCTTGTACAGCGCCAGCCAGTCTCCAGGATGGCTCTCTGCGGGCTTCACACCCCTGTGTGGTCACCTCCCATAATGAAGGGGGTGACCCATGTGGCCAGTCGGGCTTTGCAGAAATGACAGAGTGTGACTTCCAAGGCAAGGTGGGAAAAGCCACCAGGACCTGAAGACAGTTAACTCCCTGCGGAGGCCCTGCGGAGAGGAACTGACGTCTCGCCCACAGCCAGCACCAACTCACCGTCCATGCGCGTGGGCCTCCCGAGAGTGGACCTGCCAGCTCCAAGCAAACCTTTAGATGATGTGGTCCTTACTGTCATCTTGATGACTGCTGCCCAGGCGCTCTCCAGCCAGGCCCCCCCAGCGTAGCCACTTTTCAATGTCTGACCCGCAGAAAC